TTATCAGAGCCACAAAAACTGATTGCCAACAGATCAAGCGAACCACTGTGGTCTATCCCTGGTTGAAGTTTGTAATTTGCCAAATTGCTTGGACGTAATTATGCAGATTTAAACAAAAGCCGGCTATCTTTTATTGTAATCTTGTTCTTGTAAGGAATAATTCACTTTTAAAGGTGCTTGAATAATGAATAAGTTTTAAAGGGAAACTTGTCAGCAATTAAATTGCTTTTTAGTTTTTCTTGCTAATCGACTTGTGACCTCCAGACCGGAATTCGGCTAATACAATTGAACAATGATCTGCCATAGAGAATTTCGGGGACAAATGCATTTTAATTTTTTAATTATCCCTACAATTTTTCGAAAGTGCAAACCACTTTTATTAACCCCTTAACCGTGCTAAAAGTAAACCAAAGTACACTTTTCTGCACATTATATGATAAATTACGAAGAACATCCTCTTTTGTGAAGATCATGCAACACAGTATTCGTTAGGGGTACTCATTATTGACAAGTTTCCGATATCACGAAAATAAAATGTTTCATATTCCTTTGTCATAATAGTAGCTGACTAACTAACTTCAATTTGGAGCTTAAAGTGAGTTTGATGTACATATGCAAGGATGACAGATCCATTTTCCATAAATCAATAGTACCTACAAAAACACGATAAATGTAACCACAAAACAATCTACTACATAATTTCTTATTCCATCTTATCTTTAGACATTCTAGCACTGGCATATTTTCTTTTTGTAGAATATTTGCACCTAACGTCACCCAGTTCTTCGTGAAAATAACAAACGTTGAACAGGACGTTAACTCTTGTGGCAGACTTTCCCAACAAAGTCAAACCATAATGTTAGAGCTTTAACGGAAGTAAAAAGAACTTGAGACACTGTGAAAAACCTGCTTCCAAGTCACTGTCACACGGGACTCTACTCCTTAAATGACAAATAGTTGATCGGGTTTGGGCTCACCCGTCCATCCTTCCCACTCCTCCCAGCGATGCTGTGCCCAAAAATGGACTCATTTCCACGCATTTTTGCTCGAAATTCAACATTGTTTGGGGTGGGAGAGGGTGGTCGCTAGTTTTGCTGGCATCACTTGAAAGATCCCAACACGTTTGATCTCCTTTGAAGACCCTCCGCACGTAGCAGCTCAATTCATGAAAACAAAATCAGTCGTTAGGGAGACTTGATTTGAATACGGAATATGTAGGTCTTCTGCTCACTGAAACCTAAAAAATTCTAACTATTCAAAACGTTCTCTGGTTTCGCCCTACGGTGGTAATTTTAACAACTTCCGAAGACCCAACCCAACAATTTAAAATACCGTATTTTCAGAATTAAACGCTCCTTCTTGTTTTTTCAAACTTGGCCTGGTGGGCCCGGCCTTTGTTGCTTAATGACTCATCGGTTAGACTCCTTCAAATCCGCCTTTTCTGTTAAAATCGGTCTAGTTCTTGATTGCAATTAAAGACGTCATCTGATAACGGATTTATAGGACGAGACGCTCGCGTGCATGGGTTACAGGTGGAGTAACTTTGCAAAGAAAAATAAGAGGCTGTTTGCAGTCTATGAATCGGTAGTTCATTCAGACCTGATTTTACTTGATGAAGAAAATCTTTCTACCCTTATTAATACACTTACGACTCCTTTAATGGACGTTAAGTGTTAACAATACAGAGTTAATAAAAAAGACAGAGAGGTATAAAGAAGAAGAAGACGGTCAATCATATTTGTTCTGTTTTTTCTTTTCATCCTCGTTTTGTTTGTTAAATTTGTTTTATTCATTTTTTTGGAGAAAGAGGAGGACGTTGAGAGAAGAAGGCAGGAGAATCGCAGTAACTACTGAATCGATGTAATGGAAACCAGTTTCTGAATTCCGTCTGTGGACTATATAAACAACAATGAATTTCAAATGAGGCGGTGATGACCGACCATTTTCACATCCTATAGTGGTACTTCATCGAATTCACTCCAGTTCAGGCAGTTATTTTAATCAAGGAAAAGACTCGAAACACCTGTTTTAAGATTGGGAGTGAGTATGCACTTAGAATCCAAGAGTTGATCTTCTCTCGCTTAGCTAAACTCTATTTTGAAACTGTCTGTTGCCTCTTAGCTTTGTTTTCAGTCTAAACCGCAAATTTTGTTATCACGAATGGAAAATAACAACTTGTTAATATGTTACAGAACGGAATGAGAAAAGCAGATGGGGAAAGAATCAATAAAACGTAGTCCATGTATTACAGTTTGACAGTATTCAGTTCGAAAGCGGGCCTATCAGTTTAAAGAATGGCGCCCGGAATCATGGAGTCAAGTCCACTTCGTTATAAAAAACACAATTAATAATCATAATATAGCAACAGGGGTTAAGATATCAAAGAAGAGCTAACGGTTCCTCATCGATATAAACCTTCATTCGCCTTATCTGAATTAGAATATTCAAATATATTTTTTTGAAAAAGTAAACTCTCACTTGATTAGAATTGAACTCGTTTATTCGGGAGACAATCTAGTGAAATTTCGATTCGCGCAGAAAATAAGGCTTTGAGGATATGATATGCGGACACAAATCAAGCGCCTTTCCAATACTGAGATAAAGTGGACTGCACTGCTATTTTACCACTATATGGTATTACAAACACAGTGGCATAGTATTATAACCTCTTGCAAAAACATGACTCGTTAGTTGCGATCGGATCATCTTTCCTACTTTCTCAATAAGAAACACGCGGCGATCGAAAACGAAATGAAAATAGTTTCTCGAGGTAATAGCTTGGCCTTTAGTATTTTAAAATTTACTCTTTCCAGGAAATGTTCAAAATTCTGTTCGGGTGTTGCAATTTATATTTTTTTAGCCACTGCTCTTTCCTACAGGACGGGAGAAGTCTAAATAAGACTGCGACGGGCAAAAATAACCGGTAATTAAAAGTTATAGAACAGCACTGTTGTGGAAAAACATAGATTGTGCAATTTTGTTTTTAAAGGTACAATAGTATGTCTGTAGTAAACTGTAAAGAACATTTGATTGTAAAGGCAACGCCACTAAGCCCTGATTAAGGTCTGTTGGTTTAATTTTCTCGTTTTATGTCCTCCTTTCGAGTGTTTGCTAAGCACTAAAAATTTTTATTCTACCTCTTCGAACGTTGGAGGAACCTAAATAGTGGGTGAATGATGAGTCAACTTGTAATCCGATTCAGCTCAATTCTGTTTACACAATTTCGTATTTTTTAAGCAATGTAAGAGCAGGATTTTCTGGCAACCATAGTTAGGACTAGTTAAGCTGTAGTATAATTATTTGGTCACCTGAAATTAGAAAGTCTCACTTTGCGCAAGTAAATGTATGCCAAAGATCGTTAGTATCAAAATATATTAAGGTTTCGACATGCGACATCCGATCATCTATATCTAAATAAAATAAAAATATCCTAATTTTTAGAAACTGTTTTCAAGACAAAGAAGGCTCACGTACTATTTAAACTCACCTTTGTTATCACGAAGGAAAATACTATTAAGTGCAGCTGTCGAATATCCTAAAGACTTTCCTTAATTTTCTTTGGTTGCAGTAAAAAGTATTTTGTTGCCTGTGACAGTTTTATCGTGTCACTCGCCTAATTCTGTATTGTCTAGTTGATAATATCAATCCCTCAGACTCCCTACCGATCATGGACTTTACAGATCCCCGTTTGCACCAGCTCAGCTCAGTTTGGCAACGACTCTTTCGAGATTGAGAGACATGGGTATTGGAACAAACCAGCGCACACAGAAAAAAAGAAAAGAAAAGAAAAATTGTGTTATTGGCTTCTGTCAGCCCTCAAGGAAGTAAACAAATCCCAGTTAAAAGCATTTAGCCTCAAAAAGCTGACCGAATAAAAGTAATTAATTATCCAAAGAGCAGATGGTATTCTAGTTTGTTTTAAGAAAACGTGCTTTAAGGCGGGAACATACAGAAAAATAATCAGGAAAGAAAAAGGGAAGAGATCAGGAAGAGATACTGTTACCCAATTTATGGCTGTAAAGGTCAAATCTGATCCAATCTTTCGATGGGCTAAATGTGGCTTTGTTCGTAAAATCATGTCATTTATACTGATACGTTAAAGAAGGAATTTCTTATCTTTGAAGGGAATAATTTCATGAAAGAAATACTTGTGCTTCCAAGAAGTAACCTACGCCACAGACGAATCTGAACTCTGGTTAAGTCTGTCTGCGAAGCGCCAAAATCCTTGTTCTTAGCCCTCCCCCCTCCTCCCCATTGTTTACCAGGATTTGAGTACTCGTCATGATTGGCCTGTTAAAAATGCCATTGTCGATTTGCCAATCAAGATGAAAGGAAAGCCTAAAAAGCCTAAACAAGGGGACCCCTTTCGGACAGAGCCTCCCCGTGTAGGCTATAATAGGAATTAACCCCCCCCGGGCAAGTTCCCTTTCAATGCTTATGAGTAATAGCTTGCTATCAATGGGTGAGTAGCGGGCTAGGGGGATTAAGCCATGCCATGCCAAACGAATCCACAAGGGCTGTTTTTTTGAATGGAAATATTTTTTTCTAACTTTTATGCTTCCATCTGGTTTGTAGACTACAAAACAGTCGTTTTTTTCTCACAATCAGTAAAGAAATCGGTAAAGCGTGGCGTAAGAGTTTTACGTGTTCGAAGCGCGCGAGCGGGCGTGTGAGACAAGAGAAAAAAAAAAAAGGTCTCTCCCCAGTTTCGCTCTCTGTTTTCACCCTCGTTCCAGACCTTTTGTTTGACTGCTCGAAAGTACTTGAATACGCAAAAATACGGAATGTTTTGCAGTCTATTTGGTTTGAAACTGAGTTCGTTTAGAGTTTTTGTAGCATCTTTATAAAGGAAGGATTCGATGATATTTAATAGAACGGAGGATTCAAGATGGCGGCCACCATGCGTAAAAATCTAATGTAATATAATGTAAATAATAATAACATGTCTATTGAAGAGAACTTGACTGTTTAATTCTTAAGTACATTCAGTGAAAATAACAGGCCAATGGTTTTTCTATTGTTTTTATTTCACACTTCAGGATTAAGTAGATAGCTATATTATCATGTCTAAATGACTGTAATCTAAACAAATTTACTGACTACCGTCTAAGCTATTTTCAAACGATAAATTTGGCTTATGAACTCCAAGTTTTTAAACTTAAGTTTTATAGAAGAACCTGTTTAAATTTAAGGTTAAAACAGGTTGTTACAATAAATGTGTCTAAAAAGGAAATCGTAGCCCAGCAAGTTCTTAAAAATTAAGCTATTAACTTGCGAGTTTTTTTAATTCTGTACGGTCATGAAAATAAAGGAAATAGTCGCCAAAGCTTTCGAAACAATTTCTCCTATAGAATGAAAGCCACAAGAAATGTTCAGAGAACAGTGCAGATAATATAATTTTGGTTAGTCTTTCTTTTCCTTTTTTTTTGCCTTTTTTTTCTGAATGGTAATGAATAATAATGAGAGGAAAACAAAACACAATTGAAACAAAAACGAAATTTAACTATAAACGTGAGCGTCAAAGTCAGCGCATTTTTGACAAGTTGTGGGTTTCTTCTCGAGTTCCGAGCATGTTTTGCTCACGCGAGGCGTTTTTTTCAGGCCGGCACTCTTAAATGTCCTTTCGCTGTTATTTTCTTTCTTTTTCTTTCAATTGATTAAGCTATAATAGTTAATCATCATCACGTTGCCTATTCCAGGGTTTCCTGAAAACGGTGATACGAATTTCTACACATCTGCATTTCACATCACTCCACATCCAGCCAAGAGGACATGATTCATGTGCCCTGGGACAAATGCAACTGCATGTTCGAGAGTCGTACTATAAAAAATAAAGAAAAAGATAAATAAATAAATAAATAAATAAATAAATAATAATAATAATGATAATCACAAAGATCGCAATGGATTGCGACATGCCATTTCCGAGTTCCAAAAACTCTCACTTTCAAAACGAGGCTAAATGAAAAACCTTTCTTGTGCAATAAGTTTTTTGTCCACGAGAAAAAAACAATCATTTTCATATCGATAGCTTCGCACTTAGCCTCCCTTTGAAACAGAGGCTTGAGGCAACTCGAAAATGGACTATTGCGAAAAACACAAACTATTTATAACCCCATGAATCCATAGGAACCCTGAATGCAGAAGACGTCTTTTTCATCTGGAAGGGTAGCCTGCGAATACAGCCGTTTCTGTCCGCTCCTCCCCGCTGGGGACTTTTCGCATGGAACAACGTCTGCGACTCAGCGACAGAAATTCCATACTGATGACGTAAATCAATGTTTACATAATAGATCAGGAAGTCATAGGCTTCCAAATACGAATTTCTTCAATTTTACGTTCCTCCTGGTCGATTTTGGTAAAGTCTTGTATTCATCTGCGAACAAGCTCCAGCAAAACTCAAATGCTTCATTTGTAGGACAATTTCAGGGGTTCCCTTGTTTTAAGTAGATAAGCTCATAAAAAGACCATACCTTTGAGACTCCTGTACAGTTTAGGTTGTGTTCTTGGTATGCAGGTTTACAATCACAGCCACACGTGTGTTCATTCCAAACTTGTCTGGCGGCAGTACACGAGGAAGATGACTTAATACACTGACAAGCACACTGCACGTGCTCAGTCATCGGTATTTTATCCCGATTAACTGTATGTCCATCTGAAAATGGAAACCGAATACTTCTTTGAACTTTAAATTTAAACTTCTGTTCAGCTTTATACTAAGATCTAGAGAGCTAAAGGATCGGACGAGGGATCATGATATTAATCAAACATCGCCCTCGATATTTTGCATATTACAGCTGCAAAGATTCTTAAGTGTGCAGGGCACCTTTTTGTGGCGAACGAGAACTCCAGCACTTTCTGTGTGTTGTCGCCACACCGGGGTTACTCCCTATGCTATCAATTTAGGGTTCTGGGAAACTGTCCACCTACCCCTCCCTTAAGCCAACATTTTGCCCTAAGGGAGAAGTAAGTGTTAGTGTTGGCTTAAGGGAGGGGTAGGTAGGCAGTTTCCCAGAAGCCTAAATTGATCCTTGGTCTTAACAGGGAGGCTCCGCGCGAGACGGGTGCCTTCAGGCTTCACTAGTTGAAGTACAGTAAAAACCCGCGTATAAGAACCTAGGTTTTTCCAAGTTAGCCTAAACAGGTTCTTATATAAATGGTATTTAGTGTAAAATTAGGCTAACTAGGTTCTTAATTAGGTTCTTAACTTTTGTTCAAGAAATAAAGCTGAATTTTTAAATGATCTGGTGTTTAATGTTCAAAAACAGTATTCTTGGAGGCTTCGTTAAGCAAAATACTATACTGTTTTAATCTGATTCTGTTACAATCAAACCTATGGAAAAAGTTTTATGTAACCATGCTATAGGGTTTAGAGTATTATTGCTGCATACAGACTGTGTTATATATATATATATATATATTTTTTTTTTTTTTGAGAAAATGTCTTAATTCTATATTTTTTTTTGGAAAATAAGAAGCTGTTTTAGGAGTTTAGCCTAAAATGGTTCTTATGTGAAGGGTGCTAAAAGATGAAATTTTAGCCTAACAGGTTCTTAAATGTTAGGTTCTTATACGCGGGTTTTTACTGTATTGGAAAGGGTAGGAAATCTGTCATTGCGGTTTGTGACAGACACTTTGTATGTCTTTGGAATGACAGGGGTACCATTTGTCAATGGAAGGGATACCAATGGTGTACCTTTTTTGTCCTAAAAGGTAGATAAAAAGGTCAAGGGTTGGACTTTAGGGAAGAACCTCCCCGTATGATTAGTGATGATGGGTGTCCCCCGGATCGCCACCTTTAACTATACCACAGGAAAACGAGAAAACCCTAGGGACGAGGTTGCCGTTTTGCCGAATCTTTGTTAGACTTAAAGAAGTCCTTTGTTCGATTTAATACGGGTCGAGACGATGAATCTCGCGACTTCGTCGTTCGCTCGGCCTCTCCGTGGCTTAATTAAAAAGCTCGCCCCGCTCGCTTAGAGACTCGTGAGGTCGACTTGTTGCAAGTCTAAATCTTCGTTTGCATTTTTGCTTTAACATTCTCTGGTGAAGCTATTGACAGACCGTCCCTGCATATTGAAAGAGAGGCATAACTTTCAGACCCACATACGCAAAAGTTTCGAAAAATTTCTTGAACTGTATGGCTCATTATTTCTTTTCTGTTTTAGAAATTCGCAGGTTTTGATGGCTGCTCTTTTCTTGGATGTTGCCAACAATACTTGCAACCAGGTCTTTCAACTTTTGCTTGTATGTATATAAGGCAACGGCGTCTATGTGGTAACTCTTACGCTGGGCAAAGCCAGTAAAGATAGGCGTACACGGTGGGCATGATGATAATCATACAAAGAGAAGAAAGTATAGTATAGGGTAGGGAAGATTCCTCGCCTGTCTTCCAAGTTCCTTTTCTTACTCCATTTGTCTGGTGCAAGGAGAATTCTGGGTCATTCTACAGCTCGCTATAACCAGTTGGAAAAATGTTTAGACACTCCAACAAAAAACTGTTCTTTTCAGCTAAGATTGCGTTAAGTCACACATTTCTGTGATATAACACTCACCCCCCATCCTCCCCTCCATTTAAAGTTGTTCCTCCAAGTTTTGAGCATTGTCTCGTATTGCCAGCAACTTTCACATGGGAGGGGGGTGGGGGAAGGAGGATCAAAAGCACAAGATCATTGACCGGCTATTTAAGCTCAAATTGTTTTCGAGCATCTTTTGTAGCTGGTTGTAGTTTTAGGAGGTGGTTATTTTTTCTTACAGGTCAAATTTTAAAATTTTACTTACCAATGCGATAAAAATCCACTGTCTTGTTCCTTGCCTTCGCTGGCTTACACGTCATCAAATCAGGACACATGCAGCCCGAGCAGCGTTTTACCCATGCGCATGATGGGAAGATGTGCTGTCCAAAGGATCTTGTGATAGGAAGATCAGTCAACGTCCGCCGACTTGCGCAGTGAGTTGAAGTATCAACTTCGTCTGTTTTGTAAAATACAGCAAAACACAGCTTAGGCTCATGATCATCAAAACGACGGGCTCCGCGCATTTCAAAAAAGCCGAGGTGCGCTGGGGACGAGCAGAGAAGACGCTGCAGAAGACCACGTCAAGTTAGAGAGATGAAATTGTTACTGATCATAGTGGGAGCCGGGACCCTTCGATGGACTAGTATCCCGTCCAAGAGGGGTGGACCTACTCCTATTCGCTTCATGCGGGATAAGCTCTAGCCTGCGTAGCAGGCGCCGGTTCTTATAGCGAAGAGAGAAATTCAAGGACGCACGCATGGCTTAAATGCAGATTAAACGTGCCACATTGAGGCATTATTGCGACTTTTTCGAAGTTAGTAAATTTGCTATCGCAGGACACCTTTCCTCAAGTGTAAACAAATAACAGGAGATATTTAACGCAACATCAAAACACTGTTTAACCAAAGGTTGTAGCAACTTACCTTTAGAAATGGATGGTTTCCCTGGTACGCCAGGACCTTTGTGTATTCCTTTAATTCCTTTTGGCAATAAATATAAACATTGAAAACAGGATAAACACAGCACCAAGAAGTAATCTTAGGTATTTTTTCTGGAAAGACCTGCGTTACTATTCATCCATCTACAGATTTAACAGATGTCACAAAGGAAGAGCTCAGACAAAAACAGGTTTGAAGAAGCTCGTTTCTCGTGACAATTATTCTTCTATTATCCTGCTTGATAATGACATTCGGATGATGCGCACACGCTAGCATAGGCCTTTGCTGTATGTAGTAAATAGGTTTTACTGTATTGCACCCCATTCCAGAAAACCCCCTTAAATTGATTCTAGATTCTACGTTTTCGATCATTTTCACAAATTAAGACGTCTTTGGGAGGCCAGATACCCTATGTCGTCCCATGCAAGTGAGTCCATATTCCGGGATCCGGGAAATGTTTGCTTGTGGAATCTAGAATCCAGCCAATTTTTGCTGTGGAATCTGGAATCCTGGGGTTTGGAATCAGGAATACAGCTAAAAAATCCGGAATCCCAGTAACGATTGGAATCCACAGTCCAAGTTCACCTGACAAAGATTCCAGAATTTAGCACCTAGAATCCGGTATCCATGGCGTGGAAACCAGAATCTAAGAGTGTCTTGGATTTCCTTACATGGGGCGACCTATCGGAAGTTTGGGGAGCATACTGCCCACTGGGGAGCGGACCTGACCTAGATGCAGGAAGTGCTAAAAAAACCTCTAACACCTAGGGTAAACCATACCGGCCCCGTGTCCTATCCCTATAAAAGTAATCTAACAAAACACTAGCAGTTGAATTGAAAAACAATTCGGGAAAACACTACCTGAAGAAAACGCTAATCATTGGCTTCGCTTGATATGAACGATAAAAAGTTAAATAAGCCACTTACCAGGTCTTATTGGTTTAAAACCTCCTTGTAATTTGGCTGTGAATTTGACGCAGAATAAATTATTAAAAAATTACCATGATTGTTACACGGATAAAGCAAATCATTCATCAAACATTCATTCCCGTATAATTTTCCACAACTCAAAATTTTAAAGTGCATCGTTGAGTTGTAAAACGCACCTAAGAGAAGCGCCACAACAGCATTTAACACTTCTTTTCTGCGCTTAAAACTTGCCAGGTGGTAATGCAATTCAGCAAAGCACAACTGGAACATTTTTGTTCATGAATTTGCCTGCATTCTTATTGGTAGTGCTCATAACCAGTTGAAAACCTCAATACAGCACGCTCCTGACCTAAATGCGCCGGTGGTGGATATCGACATCAACAGGGCATATTGCGCCCCCACCTTCTTACCGCCCCTGACCCTAGCTAGACCATAATAATCGTTACCTTGGTGCTGGGGTAGACGTGGTATGTTAGGGAACATTTCATAGAATTTATCTTCTGTAGTTACTTCCCGCCAGTTAAAACCTTTCTTAAATTTCACCTAAAAGTAAGAAGATATCAGCAAATATACTTGAGATGATACGAGGCACTTGGCTCCTGGCAGAGTTCATTCATCACGCAAAATGAACAAATGGGCAGGAACAGTGGAGAGTGGCGAGAACTTTGGAGCAGAAATTTGACTTTGTGCGGTCCTGACGAACGCCTGGAACAGGCAATTCTCTATTTTCCAATTCCCCATAATACACTCTGTTTGCCCCCCAAATTTTGCATAAACCATTGTTTTTAAATGCTTCTGGGAGTATTGCATTTTCCCAAGAGCATTTTAAGACAATAAGTTATGCAAAATTTGGGGGGAAAACAGAGTGTATTATGGGGAATTGGAAAATAGTCAATAAGGGTGGCAGTTTTCACGCACGCGCGTTTTCCGTTGCCTGTAGTATCCGAGGGAGATTCTGAGCAACATAAGGAATTATTATTAGGTCGATACAACGTTACTTGAGCCAGAGGGCGCAGAGCCGAGTTTGCTTTTTATCGATCAAACCGTCACGCGATCTGTTACAACCCGGTAACACATTAGTCAATGCTCAGTGGGACCATTGACCAATAAAAGGACTGAAGAAGCCAAGATCGGCTTACAGTAAAAAAAAATCGGCCCTTCGTGCCTCGCTCGGAAATGCGTCGCTCTTCTGGCGGGCGACGTTCGTTCCCACCGAGCATTGACAGCTGCCAGGAGCAGCTGCAAAATTTTAAAATATGCAATCAAGGTCACTGATAACTCCTCTGCGCCCTGTCCTTGAGGTAACTAATCTCAATTACATAGCCTGTATGTGACAGGCACAGTAATGGGAGAGAAAGGAGAGTAAAGCGCGAAAGGAAAGCATGTCGATCGTAATGATTAGAAATAACCTTTGCTTGTCTGTTGTTTTACCTCTAGACTTCGAGTAGCCTGCTACACAGCCGTTTTTAGTGTCGTCCCGCAGTGGGGAGGAGCATTGCTTGACGACTCTAAAAACGGCTGTGTAGCAGACTAGACTTCGAGTAGTCCGCGCTGTTACTTTTCTTTTGAGTCACAGTGTATTGACAGCAAGAGTGCAGTGAGGACCAAAGGCGGAAGCCCGAGCGAAGAAAAAAAAAAGGAGACTGCGATGGTATATCTGATTTTCACGCCTCCTTGATTGACAGTTCCTTCCTTCCTGACAGTTGACACCATTTCGCGCGTGATTTTTCCTGTTGTTTTAATTTTTCTCTCCGCCCTATTAAATCTCTCTCCTCATTTGTACCATTCATAATTTTACTTTTTCGCTCTACCGCGCTTTGCTCTGGAGCTTGGCTCTGGAGGAAAGAATACAAGGACGACCGCTCGCCGTCTATCCTTGCCAGCACCCCCTCTGCCATTAAATAATTCATGCGCTTTGAAAAAATTTTACATGATCGCGCAACATCGCAGTCGGCAAGCATACACAACGCAATACATATCTCTTCTTTTGAGCACAGGTATACCAAAAACTCATTATGTAAGCGCTTGTTGTTGTTTATAGGCTATCGGCTAAAGTCCATCGCGTTGCCAGAGGCACTCACTACCCTTCAACATATCAGACAATTTTCATAAAAGAATTGATACAGAAAGATTTGTCGAAGCGTGACATAGTTGGAACTGAACAACACGCCAAAGTGGCGGGTGTTCTCAAGTTTAGGCCTTCCCTTGCATGCATAGCATTAATAGGACAATATTTAGGAGCTTATTATCAATGAAAGAGACATAATCAATGAAGGTACTTCAAAGTTGACCTGTACTGACATTAACCATAGATATGGGAAGCCTTACGGGCTAGAAAACGAGTTACCTGAAATGCAGACGGCGTGGGTTTTTGGAAAGCTTGTCGACGCACTCGACTGTTACTTCCACTGATTCGTCCCCATGAAAACTCAAGTAGCAGAACCAGGAAGATTAGCGATGCTTTCATTTCTTATCCTTTTCGAAAGATTGTAACGTTTTTTAAAAAGCACTATAAACTTACTAGTCTCTTTGTACCAGAGATTTGGGCTGTGAACTCTGATTACTCAACGTTTCGAGTTGTTCGCAGGATGTCGAGAATTTTTTAATTCGATACCGCATTTTTATGCGTTATAAGAGCTGGTTTCAGCTTGGAAAGTGACGTCATAACGCGTTATTTCCGGTGGATTATCACTTGTGGCTTTTCCTTTGCCAGGTGTACGTGACAAAAATAATAACAACAAATTTAAGAGGACTATGATGTTATAAATATTAGATTTAATTGTATTATTTTACAGTTATTGTTTTGACCTCAGAATGATTCTACCGTACCCAGAAAAACTTCCCAACACCAAAAGCTTTATTTGCATGACCATAAAGGAATTACAGTACAGGAATTACAATTCCCAGAGCCTTTAGGAAAAAATTGGGTAGGGATGTGCGGCCCGGGACCCTGGAAAACCCTTAACCTATTTAGACCAAAATCAGCTGAATTTTCCTACCCTATTTAGACCTAACCAAAAATTTGATCCTAGAGTATTTGTTTACCTGAGTCTAAATAAAATCTTCAACCTGCAAATTATTTCCCTAGTTCAGACCAATGTTAAAAATGTTTATCTGCTTTTCTTAGACATTCTACATGACCCAAACGCTCTTCTGAAAAGTTTCAAGACTACAGTCCTAAAAATCGTTACCCTATTTAAACCAAAATGGCGGCAAAATAGGCAAAATCGATACCTTTATACCAAAACGGCTGAAAAACCCTACCCCCGGGGCCGCACATACCTATATAGCCCATATTTACAATTCCCAGAGTGACAGGGTGCTCAAAGCGGGTTAAGCGGCCATAAATTTTCGGCGTAAACCAGACGTAACCAATCGATGATGAATGGTAACAATGAGTAATCGAAGAGTAATCATGGGTAATCAACTGATTATTCGCTATAATCAATGGGTAATCGATGGCTTATCGAGGCTCAAAATTTTGTGGTCCATCGCCCAGTCTTAGTAAAATCCTATTATCAATGCTGCGTTCTGATTGGTTGAGCTACTACTAGACTATATATTAGGGACCATATGGTTAGGGACGGACCATTAGAAAACTTAGCGGGGAAGGGGGCGGGCGAAGTACAAAAAAAATTCGAGCAAGGGAAAATTAAATGAAAAAAATTCTTGCACGCCAATTAATCCTAAAAAAATATCCATGCTATAGCCTAAAAAAAATTCATACAAGGAATTTGATGACGAAAAAAAATTCCTGCGGCTCGAAAATTCCCCTCCCCCCCCCATAACTTTCTAATGGTCCGTCCCTTGTAGCCCACTAGTAGCGAAAAGCGCGGGCTTTTTGGCGGCAAAAAAGGATTAAAGTCTAGCTTTTAACTAGCTAATTTTTTTTTATTCTCGATATTTTTGACCAACTACTTGGATTTTACTAAAACAATTATTCCTCTCGCCCTCATTTCCTGTGAGTCAATAGACCATTCGGCCCTTGGCCTCATGGGCTATGGTTATTGACTCAGAGCCCAATTATTCGATGACATGGTAGCCGCATGGTAGCCGCGCCTTTTATCGTCTCCCATAAGGTCTTGCGAGCGTAAGCCGGGCGCGATTTTCGATCAGTCGATCGACCATGTTTTGAAAGTGAGTCGAAGTTCATGCAGGTTTATGTGAAGAAAAATCACCAAAGGATATCACTAGAGGAGGTAGTTATTCCTTTTCAGATCTCGTAGTAGTTTAAGGTATTGTTTTGAACGACAATCAATCAGTGAATTGTTGTTTTACAGCGAGTGCAAATACAGAAGTTGAACGTGTAGACAAATATCAAGTGATATTTTTACCTGATGGCTCATGGACCTTCAGCTGCCAAAAGGCCTTAGCACGAGCCGGCAGGTAAAAAAATATTTAGAATTTCTATACCAACTTGAAAGTAAAGAGCCACAAGTTATCCTTCATTCTGCAAGCCAGGAGTAAAGCACTTTATTATTGGGGAGGAGCGTTGCGTGACGCAGGTGCGTGACGAGACAAAAACGGGGACTGATGAGGGAGGGAATTACAGTCAACTCCCTTTATGTAGGGCCCTTGAGTTTGTGTCCTCATTAGTGAGAGTCCCTAACAGTGGGAGTTTATTTCAGTCAAATATCTATAATTCAATAATTCTTGGGATTTAACTACTGTCCATATTATCGAAGTGTCCGTTATAGCGGGGTGTCTGTAAGGCAACAGTTGACACTCATGATAGTCTTGTTTGGAGATGTGTGTGCCATTGTGATGTCCACATCCTCTACCATAGCTAAAGGCTCTTGAAAATACCATACCATTGCCATGTTGGTATAATGAAAGGAGAAGTTTTCTATTTTTAAGACGAGTTTTTCTTCTTTCAACGAGAGCGACGAGAGTCAAGATTTGACTTAAAGCTTTTTCGTGTATTCTCATCAATGAATTTGTTATTCGAAATTTGAGTCCATTTTTTCAGCCAGTAAATTTTAGATTTATCTGTTACATTTTGCATGAATGGAGGTTAATTCACATGCAGAACGAAAATTTCTAAACAGCCTGCATTTGATAACTTGAATTTGATGTAAACATTCTTCTAAAAATTTTAATTCATTCAAAGATTTTCAATTTCTGATCAAATACAGAAAAGTTCTGGCTTATTCACTGCTCATTTCACATGCATTGAGTCCGATTTAAATTTGTCACTTGTTTTAGAATCTAAAGGTTCATTTTTGAAATAATCAATTCATTAATTTTCTTTTCTTTTTTTGACCTTTTTGACTCTATTTAATAATATAATTATTTATATCACCTTCATTTCTGCCTCATGTTTGTTATTACAAGCCTGCGAGTCAAGCACCGGTTTGTTTTTTTTTGGTCAATTTTTACTTCGCCCTAAAAACCGGCGCCTGGTACGTAGGCTCTTATTATACCTGTCCCTTATCATATGTGTAATAATTATTATATCTTTAACCTTGTATATAATCAAATAACTTGATTAAAATAGACTGGTCAACTTTTGAGGGTGAACTTTCAAGTTGCCCTTAAATCACTGTCCGTCCGCCCTCTTGCTGCCCCCAGAGTTATGGTACACCAGAAATTTGAAAGAAAGTGTTTTCAAAGACGTATAAGGCAACAGCTTCAGGTCAATCAGGCAGTCAAAATGACTTGACCGAAAAGCCTTTTGAAACATATCATATTCAGATTAACGTGTGTTGTTCCTTAGTAACTGCATGCTCTAGATTTCTCTTCAGTTTATTACTGATGAATTAGAATTTTACAGTAACACTTACAACCTCTACATCGATGAGAAAATTATAAGAGGTTTGTGTTTCAAAAATATAAACACGTAAAGTATGATACAGTCGAAACTTCCTTACTCGGATACATCCGGAAACGAAAAGAAAATAGTCGGCAAATGGAGCTGCATGGGTGCTTACATGGGTGCTTGAGAGGATTAGGATTCTTGGTGTCATCACGAAATGCTACTGTGGGAGGAGTGTTGCGTGACGACAAATAGCTGCGTGTAATAGAGTTGTGTGAGCTGTCCGTTAAGACAGCCTCGACTGTATTAGGTTTAAGGCAAAAAAAAACTTAGGAATCTAAGCCAAGAGTGATTACCATCTCGATAATCTGTCGAAACTTGTTGATCAAAGTATCATCTAAGAAGCTATGGAATGTAGGGACGAAAAATCTTGCTTCGACACTTTAGAATTTTAACAAAACCCTTCCTAAATTCATCATTCATACCGGCGTACAGAAGCGGGTTCACACAGCTATTGACATAAACCATAATGCTTCCAAAAGTAAGAAATGTGTTCAAATGAACCCACTTCGAACCTGAACCAAACTCGTACCATAACCACACCACTTGGTTGGGCAGAAGGCAGATGGCGTAAGATAAGACAACGGCCACCAACATTTGTACAATCTTAGTGTTGCGGTGGAGGCGTTTCTCCTCTTGTCGGGCGCTGGAAGTGTGTTCTTTCTGGGAGTTCTCCAGGCGTTTGGTCGCGGTTGGATTTTGAGTGTAAACGGCCGTGTGTTCGTTTGACGGTAGCTCACTTTCATCGGTTTGCGCAGCTTCGCTGTACTTGTTGAAGGAATTCTTAGCTTTACTGTAAGCACTGTCGGAGATGCCACTTATCTTTCGGTTTTTCGCTATGCGAGAAGCCTGCTCGCGTAGCTTTAGAGCGACCATCGTGTACGCTAAGCCGATGATCACCAGCGGAAGAGTGTACTGAAAGATAAACAGGCCCATGGTGTACAGTTTAACGGCAAATGGCACAGGCCAGTCTTCTACGCAGGAGCCATCTTTCATCTTCAGCGCGAGGACATATGGAAGAACGAGAATCAGGGACAAGAGCCATGTAGTGCTTATGATTACAGCAGTTTGAACTGTGGTGAAGCGCGGCTTCCACGGGTGAATTACAGCGCGGTACCTTATTAGTAAAAACAAACAAGGGTCTTCTCAGCGAATTAATGTTAAAACCAACCATATTTACGCTAGGAAATGTCTATAGCACAAAGGTCCATGAGATTGAGAAATATGTGAAACAAATACTTCCAATAAACATATCAATGCTGACAATGTCAACTGGCCTGAGACAAAGAAGCTCGCTATTTACAAGTATTGTCAAGTAAAGGTTTGAAACTCGGGGCTACCGAGAATCAGATTCAGCTAGCGATCTGGGTGGGGCCTGAACTCGCAGCCTTATGTGCCTACTGGTACGCATACGCAAGTGGCAATGATTATGATGATGATGACGATGATGACGACGATGATGATGATGATAACAATGATGGCGGTGATGGTGATGACGATGTAGATGACGATGATGATGATGATGATAACAATGATGGCGGTGATGGTGATGACGATGTAGATGACGACGATGATGATGATGATAACAATGATGGCGGTGATGGTGATGACGATGTAGATGACGACGATGATGATGATGATAACAATGATGGCGGTGATGGTGATGACGATGTAGATGACGATGTTGACGATGATGATGATGATGATGCTGATGATGATGATAATGATGACCAGAGGGTCTCTGGGACAAAGCGTTCCGAATCTTTGAACTTCCGGCTTAACTGCACATCAAGGTAATTAAAAGGTTCAAGGTCCTTATTTTACGTCGGTAGCTCGTAACAGTTGTCATTTGACTGACAAACCTGAGACCTACGGTGCGCTTCATTAGGGTATTTAAAGTGCGTGAGAGAACAAAGGTACTCTTAGTCCTAGAATCTGGTCCTCTATAAGCGCGCGTTGATAAACGCGCGCTTATAGAGGAGCTCTTCGTCTCTGTTCCGCTAAACAAGAGAAATTTAGGCTCTGTGATAAAGACTGATGTGGAGTGTGTTAGCCTCCCACGAAGGGGAGGGCTTCGCTACCTGTCCCCTCCAGGGTATGAAACCCTAGGAAAGTCTGCAAATTGCCAAGAGTACTTTAACACTCACCTGTCATAGCTAATGCCAGCAAGTGTTGCAGCGGAGCAATTTGTAAAGAGAGTCATAGCCGGCCATAACACTTTGCACATAGCAGAGCCAAGAGGCCAGACAGGTTGCGTCACTTTCAATACCACATCGAAGGGGATACAAAACAATGCTACCATGAGATCGGACACCGCTAGATTCACCAGGAGGTAGTTACGAGTGGTACGCATGCGCGGAGTTTGAAAAATCACCAAGCAGACCAGCGTGTTTCCGGTGACAGCAATCATAAATATGATGGTGAAAAAAGTATACTCTGCTACTTGCATTCCGGTTATTCCTGTTTCCGTTGAATTTGTCATAGCGTCGATGGCACAGGGAATGATAAACCGTTCAGATGATTGCTGTGTAAAATATTTTCTGGTGTTTTTTTTCCAGCCTTCTTTTTCTAGCCAATATTTTTGAGGTGAGAGCCAGCGATTCGAAAGTTGAGATGAAAATACTTGCGCAATTCCTTTGCTGTTTTCCTTAGAAACCTGCGAAAAACATTAAGAATTGTAAAACGTTATTATTAACCTTTCTATAGTATGACAACCTTACTGCATCATTGTCTTATTGTTTATTTTTTGAATTGTTATTCTTGTATCCCATTCTTTATGTAATGAGAAACACACCATACATGCAGTGCCGTATCTGATATCTCGGCAAGACTGCCGAGAAGAGAGTTGAAAAAATCGGAGGCGGAGATCGACTTCTAGATAGCTGGATATCGGATGAAACGCATTGCCGAGTCTTTGAAATAGCTTCTCAAATCAGTGATAATTTTTGACGAAGGAAAGTTAGGAAATTTTGGTATAGTTAGTTTCCGATATCCAAACCTTCTTGACGTTAGTGATTTTGTTATTTATTTTGTTTTCATGTACTGACCTTCTCGTACAATCGTTTTCCGGTAAAGCGACGAAAATGAATCAGTTGAAGAGTTGAGTTCTTATCCTATCAGAAATCTTACTGAGAAAAAGTCCACTATAAATCCGGTGGTATTTTGCGTGAAGTGCGATGTGACTTGGATGTGGTTATGACGGAGAAAATTTCTCAAGCCGTGACATTCTGAAAAGAAAGTTTCTGAGCTCCCATTGTGGGAGTCTACCACATGACCCTCCATATACCAACTTCCATACTATATCTAACAGTCAAGTTCCCGCCAAAACGTGAGATTTTCCAGCACATTGCAATGCCATCTGCTAAATGCTCTACACCTTAAAATCAAATGAAGAGTTTGCCTTTCCGCAAAACTTACGTGGCAGTTTAAGAATAATGTTCAGGATCACAAAGGTAGGAGAGAAGTGCAATTACCAAATTTGATTTCCTTACCAGTGATGCAGCGAAATCAAATGACCACTCCCGGCGGTGTGTGCTTCTGAGATTCTTACACGGTTATATGGTTTCTTTACTACATGATATGATGTACTTCAGTTATCTGTTTGGTTATTCATATTCTAATTTTAAGATAAAAACCGAAGTATAAAGCCCATCTCCTGGCGGCTTACCGGTTTTTTAAGTGCAGTAACCCTATGAGTATATTTTCAGTTATCGCGAACTCAACTACTTCTCCGGACGATTATTGGCTTTTTGTACCAGTGACGGCTTTCGTATGCTTAACTACATCCTGTTGTTGAAACCGCTGGCGTCCTCATTTTAAATGCTGTATAACGAAAACTTTCTTCAGCGCCTGATGGGAACGGATTGAAGTTTTCTACATTTAATTTGCTTTTTATTTTTTATTTTGGAGAGTTAAGAAACAAAATGTTTAATATTGCAGTCTCAAGTGATAGACTCCTTGTTTTATCTGGCTCCTGGGTTTCTTCTGCACATCCGTTCTAACTTTTCTTTTATCTAATGTCTTAAGAATGGGCCCAAATGTAGTTTTACTTATCATTTTCCTCGCCTGAACGCGGGTTCAATTATAGTTAATTGACATTCTCAAAAGTTAGATTCAAAGACCCGGTCTCTTTACTACGCAATTTACTCGCAAAGAAAATAAATCTTAACAGCTTTCCAGGACTACGTTTTACGTAAATGTACGGCGCAACAACCTCTTTAAAGTTTTGGCCGAAACGAAATTATAATCAATATGTAGTTGCTGAATTACTTACCCTGTAAAATGTTCGCTTTTATTTTTCCTTTTTTCTCTCTTTTTAGAAAATTGTTTATCATTCTTTTTCCTACTGTCGCTGCATATTTTGGCTAGGGGCCTGAAATTTTTTAATTTTAATTTACGACTTTTAGCGAACACAAACACCAGAAGCTAAACAATCAGTCAAAAATGAATTTAAAGCAGTGTCAAAATAGTAAGAACAACGAGCTGAATAAAATAATGGATCAGTATGAGATGAAATAAATTCGTAAGTGACAGCAAAACAGGAAAAGTAATCAAATACAAATTAATGTAACCAATCTCTTCTGTAAAGTGTTGCAGGAAATTTGTTTAAGGCGAGGAAATAGAAGTCTTTGTTTTTGATAGCTTGTCAGATACATTATTCCACCTGCTCTGTTAAAGTCACTTTCCAGAAAAGATTTATCAGAGATGGTGTTTTAGTTTGAAATGGGTATTTTTTTGCTCAGTTGTTAAGTATCTTGTAGGCGTGCTTTCAGTGTTAACCATCAGTAAACAGTAGAACGGCGTGCTGTGAAAAAGGGGATTCACTATTCAATGATAAGTGTATAGTTTTCCTAGATATCATGCTGTGCATAAAACGAATTAACTTATATGACTTACTGCATATCATAATGGCCTGCTATTTTAGTACTTAACAAAGGTGGCTTTAAAATGCTAATGACACAAGAGTCTTACAATGTTGACCATTGTAATTACAAGTTTTTAAAAAACAAAAGTGGTTAAAAATACCAACCAATATACTATATATTAATCCTTTTGTGAAAACAACAGCCTTGGATTAAAAGCATTGAAAAGACAAAAGTTAAACGTAATGGTTTTTACTGTCTAGATTCGGACAGCTCGAGATAGAAATTGCTTTAAAATAAAACTGAAACAAAAACAAAAAGCTCTTTTTAAAATGGTTTAGCTATTGATTTTGAAGTGAGCTCTACCTTCCAAATGAAATCCCGATCCTGAGGTACTTCTTACTATCTGTTTTTAAAAATATTATGTAACTACGTATTAAAAACTGATAAGTTCTTGACTAACTTTTGAGTCAGTGGATGAAATCTAGCAGTGTGACCACTCAAATGAAACCTTAGTACTTTCACATGGTACTATTTAAACTTTTGAGTCTGTGGACGAAATCCTATGGAGTGACCATTCAAACGAAACCTCTTCAGCAGTACTTTCACATGGTGCCCTATGTTTTGTACGTAGTTCTAACTTTTGAGTCTGTGGATGAAATCCTATGGTGTAACCATTCAAACGAAACCTCTTCAGCAGTACTTTTGCCTGGGACTGTTTGTTTTTCACTACTCCACGAAAATTGGGAAATCTTGAGAGGTAAAACGTTAGTTTCAACTTTGCCGTTTCTTTGAGAACCTAAACAAGGAAAACACCTGGTGAAGTTAAGTTATTGCATTTGAAACCTAAAGATGATATCCATACGACAACTCCTGAAACGTACTCAATCCTGTTCAAGTCATCTCATTTCTGGTAGAGGCCATGAATTATCGCTATTTTAAACGATTTTCTGAAGGTATTCGAAGCGTTTCAGCTTCGTTATCGTCGTTTTATGTTTTGCTTCATTTTAAATAGTAAACTAAAATGATTTTTTTAATCCATATCATTATTTTATGTGTAAATTACTTTGAACAAAAATTAACAGCGTTCGCTTTTTTTCCATTTAAAACAAGAGCTGATTTTATATTTCAGCGTACGAATTTGGACGTAACACTTTCGTTGTTCAAATTATGATGTAATCGTGGTTTGTGGTCTTTTATTTATATCCTGAACAACATCTCTCCTTCTCAAAAATGCAAATTCGCTAAAAAGCCTTGAGTTACGCTAGAGAATTTTTTATACGACAATGTTATTCTGGATTTTATTTCCTTTGATGTCACGAGATAGACCTGAAAACATTTGATATATCCACCTTACGAAGAAACATGAAAAGGCCCCTCGTGACAAACGAAAAATTAAATACAAAGGATTACATACCTGTCTGTCTTTTGTGCCAGATAAATTCTTCAAGGGGAAACGATATCTGTTTGAGCTTCAAAAGTCTTTTAAGTTGTCAGTGAATGGTTTACCCAATAAATTTTCAAGGGGTGTTTTGTCTGAACCCATCGATAATTTCCTTATAGGAACCAATCTTCTTTACAATGACAAGTGGTTTCGTAAATGCCTTTTATTTCTTGGAACGTGGATCACCATGACAACAGAAGAGACCTCTTTAACATGAACACGATAAGGGCCGTTTGATTAAATTTGAAAACAATTTACATCTCGTCTTAAAAAAGGAAAAATAATTTCTTATAATATGATTTGGTGACTTAAAAAACTCCAAGGCTTATGCTGGACAGTAAATTATAGTGCTTCTTTATCATCACAACAATCATTAAGTAATACAAGAAAACATTAAACATTCATATCCGAACAATTCTTGGGGTATTCTTTGTTAAACCTATACACTATAGCATCAATTTTCTGACACATTTGGAATAATAGAATATAATGTCTACAGCGAACTAGATGTCATACCATAACTTTGCTGTTGTATCCGATCCAGCATTTTATCCGGCAGTACAAATAAAAGCAACCTCTGTGTTTTAATTAGAATTTAAGGTTGAATTGTGAAATATATATCTTTAAGAAGAGATGCTCAAAAGCTCACGTTTCTTGAAGAAAGCTATGACATTTTTCTTGATGTTATCTCGAGTTATTACCCAAACGATAAAATAGGCGCCTTGCACCAGAGGACATCTTAACTTTTGTAGCAACATTTCAAGTGATTTTTCTTTAAGAGGTAGACTTGTTTCATAAAGATCCGACCGGATAGAAGATCCATTAAGGCGGTTTAATTGAAATAAGCGGGCCGAAGTTTGATTTAGGGAAATCCCGGAAATGCAATGAATTGCGCCAAAAAATTGAACCCATTATAAAATTATGTATTTAAACTGGAAATGTAAGTTGAATTTGTTACATGAATGTGTGACCAGAAAAAATTAAATATTAATCAAATGTCATTTAGTTGATGAGCGTTTTCAAAGCCAGCTTAAAGCGGTATTCAAAGCTGCAAAGGCATATTATTTACGAAATTTGTCAAAATTCAAACAATGGAAACCCCTTGCCTTGTCCCTGTACGGCGTTTTCCCAGTCCCTCTCGGTCAATTCGTTTCGGTGACGTATCCGAGACGAACGGGCGGGAAACGCCCTTACATTTTCGCATGGACCACGTGACCCGAAACGCTTTGGCCG